GAACGAACGAACGAACGAACGAACGAAAACGAACGAACGAACGAACGAACGAACGAACGAACGAACGAACGAAACGGAACGAACGAAACGAACGAACGAACGAAAGAACGAACGAACGAAAACGAACAACGAACGAACGAACGAACGAACGAACGAAGAAACGAACGAACGAACGAACAAAGAACAACGGAACGAACGAACGAACGAAGAACGAACAACGAACGAACGAACGAAACGAAACGAACGAAGAACGAACGAACGAACGAACGAACGAACGAACGAACGAACGAAACGAACGAACGAACGAACGAACGAAACGAACGAACGACGAAGAACGAACGAACGAACGAAACGAACGAACGAACTACGAACGAACGAAAAACGAACGAACGAACGAACGAACGAACGAACGAACGAACGAACGAACGAACGAAACGAACGAAACGAACGAAAGAACGAAACGAACGAACGAACGAACGAACGAGACGAACGAACGAACGAAAACGAACGAAACGAACAACGAACGAACGAACGAACGAACGAACGAACGAACGAAGAACGAACGAACGACGAACTAACGAAACGAACGAACGAACGAACGAAACGAACGAACGAAACGAACGAACGAACGAACGAACGAACGAACGAACGAACGAACGAACGAACGAAACGAACGAACGAACGAACGAACGAACGAACGAACGAAAAACGAACGAACGAACGAACGAACGAACGAACGAAGAACGAACGAACGAACGAACGAACGAACGAACGAACGAAAAGAACGAACGAACGAACGAAAACGAACGAACGAAGAACGAACGAACGAACGAACGAACGAACGAACGAAAACGAACGAACGAACGAAACGAACGAACGAACGACCGAACGAACGAACGAACGAACGAAGAAGAACGAACGAAACGAACGAACTAACGAACTAACGAACGAACAACGAAACGAACGAAACTAACGAACAACGAACGAACGAACAACGAAACGAACTAACGAACGAAAAACTAACGAACTAACTAACAACTAACTAACTAACTAACTAACGAACGAACTAACTAACTAACGAACTAACTAACTAACTAACTAACGAACGAACTAACTAACTAACTAACAACTAACACTAACTAACGAACTAACTAACTTAACCATCTATAACTTTGTTTTACAATGTTGTTAACTTTTTCCATTTTTGTGGCAACATATGGATTTCACTCCAAAACAACTGTTCCGAAGGAAAGCGTGTCCCAGAGATATCTTAATGTATATATATTCCTCCCACTCCTCGGGAGAGCCTTTATATAAAACATAACGCACATTTCTCACACTCCCCAAATATAAGACAAAACTTCTGAAAAACATCGTGGCCCTCGTGTTTCTGACGGAAATTTAATTAGTTGCATCCGGTACAAGTTCCCTGTTATGGGTTAGGTAGATTTCAGCGACTCGTACAAGATATGACTATTTTGAACCCACCAAATACACTATAGCGCCATGAATATTTTGTTTTTGAGTCGATTCGGTTGCTTTTTTTTTTTCTCAGGATCCATAATATATATTTTTATACAATTTCATAACCATAAATACTTCTGCTCGGAGCATATCGTAGTATTAAAAGATAAACAGACGGATGGACGGACATGGCTGGCTCATCTTAGAATCTAATAATTACCCAAGATATTTGTACTTCTGTGGGTCTATGACCAATATTTCGATATACATATATTACAATTATAATCATGAAATTAATAAATCCCCTACCTTTGTGATGATAGATACACACAAATTTAATGCGTTTTAGTTTTAAATTACATAAGAAAGTTTTCTATATCATAAAAAACCAAATGAATAAAAAAAATTTATAAATTTTAAGTTGGCAAGTAAAAGATTTAAACAAAAACTGTACACGCAACATGTAAATCAAATGTAACCTCAAGAAATATATAAAGATTAACAACAAACAAAACAAGTAAGTAAGTTTTATATTCGGCTAAGCTAAATCTTATACACCCACCAACGAAATATATGTATATGTATGTATGTGTGTGAATTTAAAATTAACTCCATAAGGTTGTCCCATATATGGCCTTTTTGGGTGAGATCCTTTCGTCATGTATTACCATGATTTACTCATCTATTGGATTTATGCTCATTTCTTGTCATTAGGATAAATTTTAAGATCGGGGCTTTCAATCGCTGATCGATCTTTACATTACTTAAAAGTATGATTTAAATTTTATAACAAATCGTAATTATCAATAATTCTTTTATCTTAACATTTTTATCAATTTATAGATAATAAACTTATTTTATGTTAAAGAAGTTATGTCAGATTTGGGGTCAATTGCGGACCGATCTTTTCAAAACTTAGTAGAGGGATTGTAGTTATTGTTACACTTAGTTATTCTTATACGTTAATGTATATTTTTGAAGGGAGGCGTGACATTTACCATATAAATTAAATACAAAAAATCGTATATCTGGGAAACTATTAGAGCCAGAATCTTCCAAAATCTATTGTCTATTATATTGTCTAGGCTACTGACTGGTCCATGGAATAGTCTATGTACAAGTCTATACACCATACTGCTATTTAATCTATTGTTTCGTCTATAGATATATCCATTGAATACTAAAGGTTAAAATGATGGTACGTATGTACCATCGTACACACAAGTTTAAAGGCAAACACAAAAGTTTAAATTGGACAAAGGGATTCGGAAGAATATAGACCACATGCAGAGAATAGTGTAACGCCAGAATCTTCAGAAATCGATTGTCTAGTATACTGTCTAGCCTATAGACTAGTACATGCAATAGTCTATGCACAATTCTATAGACCAGACTACTATTTAATATATTATCTCGTTTATATACTGGTCCATAGAATACTAAATAAACTACTCGATAGATCAGTCCATATACTACTCGAGCGCAAGACAAGTACAGATACAGACATGGTACGTATGTATTTTTAATAGACACACAACTTTAAAGGCACAACTGCATGAAATTGGACAATGGGATTCGAAAGAATATAGAGCACGCGGAGAGGATAGTGTAGCGCCAGAGCACTATGTCTGCCATTGCCAGGCTTTCCTCAAAATTAGATCCAAATATCTTTAGAGCGATTTTACTTTAGATATTACATCCTTCAGGAAGACTGATTAGATAACTTTAAGGATCTATGTCCAGAAAACTGATTTCCAGAATATTGGACAATAATTCATACAACAGGCCATACAGTGGTCTTGAGTATTTTTATACCCTACACCACTTTAGTGGAGAGGGTATATTGGGTTTGTGCTGATGTTTGTAACGCACAATAATACTGGTCTTATACCCACTTTAAAGTATACCAATCGGCTTAGAATCATTTTCTGAGTCGATTAAGCTATGTCCGCCCGTCTGTCTGTCTCTCTGTCTATCCGTCTATGTAAACCTTGTAATCAAACTACAGGTCGCAGTTTTGAAGATAATTCAATGAAATTTGGTACATGATCTTCTATTGTCCCAGGGACGAAGCCTATTGAAAATGGTTACGATCTGTCCATTATTTCACCTAGCCCCCATACAACTGAACCCCTGAATAGGGCTTGTAAAACTTGTATTCAAACTACAGGTCGCAATTTTAAAAATAATTTAATGAAATTTGGTACATGATCTTCTATGGTACCAGGGACGAAAATGGTTAACATCGGTTCATTATCTCACCTAGCCCCCATACAACTGAACCCCCGAATAGGACTTGTAAACCTTGTAATAAATTTTGAAGATAATTCAATGAAACACACGATCTTCTATGGTACCGTAGACGAAGCCTGTTGGAAATGGTTAACATCGGTCCATTATTTCACCTAGCCCCCATACAACTGAACCGGTCGAATCGGGCTTTTAAGTTCATAATTATGTTTAGTATGCTCTTATCTCGACAAAAAGCTGCAAAACCAAGTTCTATACTAACCTTGATGACCCTCATGAATATTTTAATTATAGGGTCTCATTTGACCATAGCCCCCATTCAAAGCCCCCTTCAAAATTCGGCTTAAATGTCCACAATCTTATTCAACAATAAATGGCTTAAGTATATCTGAGGCAAGGTACAATTCAACTCTAATGCTTTATTATGAAAACTAAATAACATTTTTTTTTGTAACAGGTGTAGGGTATTTTATGGTCGGCCTCGCCCGAGTATAATTTCTTAATTGTTTGATACTAATTTTCAAAAATTACCTTAAATATATATATTTGTACTTGGTTTCGGTTCTCGAACGATTGGTCATTTCGGTTATTCTTTATATAATAGAATAAAATTTATAGAATAAAATTTCATTAAAATCGAAATCAAACACCCATATAATTAATCATTGTTTTCACATCAAAACCCTTACGAGCAAATAACTAATTTTACATTTAGTATCGAACACATGTTGAAAGTAGACGTCAGTCAACATATTCCTTGGTCTTAAAATACATTTATTAAACAACATATGTTCATTTGACCATTAATTCCCCACTCAATCAAATTCACACAAAATAAAGAAATTTCATAGTTTTTTATAAATTTGAAAAATAAATGTTTTACAATAAAATTTATTTACTCCTTTTAGCACTAAGTAAATATCGATATACTTTCTGTATATATAAGGTCTGTTCAATTGGTCAAATGTACACTATTTTTTGTTTATTGTGGCAACAAATTTACAAGTAATTTTTATGCTCAAATATCCTTAAGGCATTAATAAATAATTTATAAAACAAAATTGCAACACACAAACCAACAAACAAATACAGTCAATAGGAGCTGAAGAAAAACTAGAAATCTCAAACACGCACATAAACTGACTGACACAAGTTTGTGATTCTAGAAGGAGAAGCCCTTACCACAGTTGCTTAATGAAAATTTGATGTTTTAAGGATTTAATTACTTGACAAATATTTTAATTTATTTAGAAATAAAATTTTAATAAAATTTCAAAACTACTTACCCTTTTTAGAGTTTTAAAAACTTTTTTTTTATATTTTTTTATTATTTTCAGCTTTAAATATTGCTAATAATCCTGACAATATGTTAACATTTCATTTCAAAGTCATTACCAATAAATTTACACCCCAATTCGCACTAAATAAATACAACAATTTTTGTATTTTTTTTTTTTTGCGAAACAATTAATCAAAAACAATTTTACTACTGTTTGTTTTTGTTTTATTGTTATTATTATAATTATTATCTTTTAATAATTTATTAAACTTATAAATATTTGTTTTATTTTTATTATTGTAGTTGTATATATATATATGCAGATGTGTGTATGTATTATGAGTTTATTTTTTTTCTTTTTGTATGTATTTATTTCTATCTGTTGTGTTTTTCTCCTGTATATATGTTGTTATTGCCTCTGAGGTAGAATTATAACTACGACTGAAATACAAACTCTAGGACCGCTTATCACTTGTCTCTGTACTTTCGTTTTCTATCAATGTAAAGTTGTCCTATTACATATTGTTGTGTTCTCAAGCTTTTTGTTTGTCCTAAAGTTGTATGGAAAAGCAACAGTAAATTATACCGTAAAAGGGAGAGAATATTTTTCTTTACAAAAGTGTGTCTATGCCAATAATAATGTAGGTTTAAATTAACTTAAGGATTTCCTATTAATCGATTAAGACTATATTTCAGGGTTGAATCCTCCCAGAGTTGAATCTGAAAGTTCTTTAATGCTTTATTAGAATCAAAGGAGTTTTTTGTGATTTCACCCACTATTTGAACGATAATTTAAAGAAATTTATTAACTGAAATATATTTAAAAAATGTCTATTACACAGTGCAACACGAAAAAATATAACCATATACGGATACTACGTGATAAAAGACTAAAAGGGCCCTTTCTTTTATGGGCCCATAAAGATTTGTACTCTCGGTGCCATTTTTACAAAAAATCTATAATTTTCTCAGGCTTTTATCTTGCAAACCGTTTGGAATTCTGATTTACTCTCTGAGGCCAAGTTTTAGCTCTTGTCATAAAAACCTATAATATGTATCAAAAAAAAAAAAATCATCTTCAAGATAAAAAACGCAAAAAAAACTTTCTTTACTTTCAAGTACTTCTCTAAATTGGGCGTATACTTAATATTTGTAATAGCACTAAATCCCGTATAAATAAATCTCACGTATACGTACAGGTGCAATAGCACCATGTGAAACTTTCCACTTCAAATGAAAAATTAATATGAATTTTTTTTTGATATTATTTGTTCACAATGTGTGTCCTTTCGGACAAGAACTACAACTTTGCCTTAGAGATAAAATTCAAATTCCGAAATTTGACCCTGAGAAAATTATCACTTTTTTGTCAAAAATGCCACCGAGGTCCAAAATCTTTGGGGGCCCATAAAAAGTACATGATGTTCGGCAAAACTGGGAGACACGGGTTTTTTATCTTTTATCACGTAGTGGTGTCGTATGGCATACATACAGTGCTTTCCAAACGGCTGTATGGGATTATCTAGTCCATGTTTTAATTCTTTGGCAAGCTAATCCATTGTGTCGTCTCGTTAGTTAGTTAGTTAGTTCGTTAGTTAGTTAGTTAGTAGTTAGTTAGTTAGTTAGTTAGTTAGTTAGTTAGTTAGTTAGTTAGTTTAGTTAGTTAGTTAGTTAGTTAGTTAGTTAGTTAGTTAGTAGTTAGTTAGTTAGTTAGTTAGTTAGTAGTAGTTAGTTAGTAGTTAGTTAGTTAGTTAGTTAGTTAGTTAGTTAGTTAGTTAGTTAGTTAGTTAGTTAGTTAGTTAGTTAGTTAGTAGTAGTTAGTTAGTTAGTAGTTAGTAGTTAGTTAGTTAGTTAGTTAGTTAGTTAGTTAGTTAGTTAGTTAGTTAGTTAGTTAGTTAGTTAGTAGTTAGTTAGTTAGTTAGTTAGTTAGTTAGTTAGTTAGTTAGTTAGTTAGTTAGTTAGTTAGTTAGTTAGTTAGTTAGTTAGTTAGTTAGTTAGTTAGTTAGTTAGTTAGTTAGTTAGTTAGTTAGTTAGTTAGTTAGTTAGTTAGTTAGTTAGTTAGTTAGTTAGTTAGTTAGTTAGTTAGTTAGTTAGTTAGTTAGTTAGTTAGTTAGTTAGTAGTTAGTTAGTTAGTTAGTTAGTTAGTTAGTTAGTAGTTAGTTAGTTAGTTAGTTAGTTAGTTAGTTAGTTAGTTAGTTAGTTAGTTAGTTAGTTAGTTAGTTAGTAGTTAGTTAGTTAGTTAGTTAGTTAGTTAGTTAGTTAGTTAGTTAGTTAGTTAGTTAGTTAGTTAGTTAGTTAGTTAGTTAGTTAGTAGTTAGTTAGTAGTTAGTTAGTTAGTTAGTTAGTTAGTTAGTTAGTTAGTTAGTTAGTAGTAGTTAGTTAGTTAGTTAGTTAGTTAGTTAGTTAGTTAGTTAGTTAGTTAGTTAGTTAGTTAGTAGTTAGTTAGTTAGTTAGTTAGTTAGTTAGTTAGTTAGTTAGTTAGTAGTTAGTTAGTTAGTTAGTTAGTTAGTTAGTTAGTTAGTTAGTTAGTTAGTTAGTTAGTTAGTTAGTTAGTTAGTTAGTTAGTTAGTTAGTTAGTTAGTTAGTTAGTTAGTTAGTTAGTTAGTTAGTTAGTTAGTTAGTTAGTTAGTTAGTTAGTTAGTTAGTTAGTTAGTTAGTTAGTTAGTTAGTTAGTTAGTTAGTTAGTTAGTTAGTTAGTTAGTTAGTTAGTTAGTTAGTTAGTTAGTAGTTAGTTAGTTAGTTAGTAGTTAGTTAGTTAGTTAGTTAGTTAGTTAGTTAGTTAGTTAGTTAGTTAGTTAGTTAGTTAGTTAGTTAGTTAGTAGTTAGTAGTTAGTTAGTTAGTTAGTTAGTTAGTTAGTTAGTCGCTTCAAATTGATCAGTTGCATTCGTAGGGTACATGTACTGTTACTCTTTTGATCATTCTAAATGCAGAGGATTGTTCAGTTCAGCTGGTGTATCGTGCGTACACATTAGATCTCTATCGCTTTGGGTTATCGTAATGAATCCATTTATAATCGCATACACTGATTCGGTATAAAAATTATTCCCTTTTGTAGCATTCTAGTAAAATTCCGTACTTACTTGTAATGTTTCTTTTATTACACAAAATTATATATATTTTTACGTTAGCAGTATGGCCAAAATATATTTTTCAGTCCAAAGAAATTACAAAATTTACTCTTACATTACACAAAATCTTTGAGAGTAATTTTGACAAATCAAAAAATTTAACCGTTTTTGTCTTTTTAAAAAATATGTTTTTGTAATATATACAATAACTTTATTCAAATCAAATTTTTAATAAAATTAAGGCACTTGTTTTCGTACCATATACATTATGCATATTTTCTCATTTTGTATATGCAAAATTTCAATACACTTCCACGGTACATTTTTGTAAGCAACAGTGATTCTTTTTCACGCATTTTCTTTTGTATTCGTTTGTTTTTCTCCAAAGTAAAGCAACAGCTGTCCGCTGTAATCAAACGCAAAAAAGTAACTTTGTTTTTGGCACATGCCCACTTGAAGAGCTTTTTTGATATTAAAAACAATGCTGACAACTTGACTGACTACAAAACATATATAATCATAAAGTTTCTACATGAAACTTAAAAGCTTTGTAGAATATTTTCTACTTAAAGTAAAAAAAACTTTTAATTGCACTAGCTAGAAAAATATTTTGTTATCGCTTAGTCCGTTAAATATACGCTAATATGCTACGATGTGGCATCTGGTAGTATTTAATCTATAGGTGACCTATCCTATGAAACCTATAGATTTTAATTAATTTAATTTTATAATTATTCGCTATATAAACATTATGATTTCATTAGATTCCTAATAAAGTAAATGTTAAAACAAGTAAGAGTGTTATATCCGGCTGTGCCGAATCTCATATACCCACCATCAAACCGTATGCCATAAAAGGAATGCTCCCCTATAAACATCAGAGTGATATTTGGAATATGGCTTAAGTCAATTATGGACCGAGCTCTTTTGAACTAACAAAATATTAATTTTTAAAAACCAAATATTTTATTTAAATTTTTAAACCGTGAGCGTATGAGTAATTTTCTGAATTTTTTGTACATAGATTTCGTTTGTATAGAACTTGTTTATGCAAAATTTCAGCGCTATACTCGCATTTTAAATAAGGAAAACTCGTATTTCAATAACCAAAACTCTTTCCTGAGGGGATCCTTTTATAGGGGCTAGGGTCAATTATAAATCAGTCCTCATTAAATTCGGAATGAAGAATTATGTTCCTAAGTATAAACTTTTTTATGTCGATTTTAATCGCTGTACGTCCAATTATTTGAATTTTCTTCATAAAATTTTCTAAAGAGGAACTCATATGGGGTATGGTCAATTGTTGACCTATCCTCATAACTTTGTTTGTAGACCGATTTTGGTTCATATAAAACTTGTTTACATTAAATATCGTCGCTGTACTAGTATTTTTATGCCAGTAATTAACGTTAATGTAATTTTATAAAGGGGGCTTGTATGGGGGGGGGGGGGGGTAGAGTGAATTACCGACACATTCCGCATGAAATTCGGAGCGAATTTCATAACCGTATTTCATAACTCATATTTTTAAGCCAGTAATGATCGTTTAAGTTATTTTCTGAAGGACGGTAGGGTAAATTATGGACCGATCCTCCCTAAATTTGGTGGAGAGATTTTGGCACGCATTAAACTTATGTGCATCAATTTTCGTCACTACATTCATATTTTTAAGCCAGTAAAGAGCATTATAGTTATTTGCAAAGGGGGTCCTTATATGCGGGAAGGGTAATTTATTGGCCGATCCAAAAAAATTGGTACAGAGGTTTTGGCTCGTAAGAAACATACGTGTGTAGCATTTCATCGCTTTACTCGTATTTCTAAGACAGTAATGAGTGTTGAAGTGGACCCAATAGGGGGAGTAGGGCCAATTATGGACCTATCCACATAAAAGTTATTAAAAAGATTTTGGATCGCGAGGAACTTACTTGTGTAAAATTGTATTGCTATATTCGTATTTTTTAGCCAGTAATGAGCGTTCAGAAGGGGACCTTATATGGAGGATAGGGTCATTTTTGGGCCGATTTAAAAAAAAATTCGTAGAGCGATTTTGGTTTGTAAGAAACTTACTTATACCGAATTTCATCGCTATACTCGCATTTTTGGAACAGTAATGAATGTTAAAATCATTTTCTAAATGGGACCTTATATGGGGGTAGGGTCAATTGTGGACCGATCCTCAAAAAATTTGGTAGAAAGATTTTGGCTCACATGAA